TGGAGGTGTTTACACTTCACCCAGGCTAACCCTCCTCCTGTGGTTTTTCTTTGGATCATCTTCAGTTGTCCCAGGAGAATCACTTTTCTGCTCCAACTCTTGTTTATTTTTGCTACTCTACTTTCACCCTGAGGTGCTGTTTTGTCTTGTTTGTGGAGGGAATTCAGAGAGCTTGGAATTTTCTAGCCTATTCCGCCATCTTCCCAGAATCCTCTCCCTGTTCTCCTTTCTACCCTATATGGCACATGTCCCATATAACAGCCCCTCCCCCTCACATCACAACCCCGCCACATCATCTGTTTGCTCTTTTCCTGAAGTGTCTGATGAAGAGGCAGCCCTTCTCTTCACCAAGTTTAATGGTAAGTTTATGTGCCTTTCATCCTATCCATCTTCTCTATCACATTGCCCCCTCCTCTTTAATCTTCAGTGCCTTCTCAAATATTTGATTTCCTTCTGCCTACAAACACACATAAGTCTCCTCTATCTTAAAAATACTGCCTTCTACCATTCCTGCTGGCTATTGTACTATATCTTACCTTTCTTTCAGGGCTAAACTCCTTGAGAAGGCCATCTACAATTGGTGTTTCCTCTTCTTTTCTTCTCATTCTCTTCTTTAGTCTCTGGAGTTCTGACTTCTGATCTCAACATTCAACTGAAACTGCTCTCTATCTCAAAGTTACCAATGATCTTTTAAATGACAACCTAATGGATTTTTTTTCCTCAGTCTTCAACATGCATGATCTCTGCAGCCCTTCGCACTGTTGACCACCTTCTCCTACTAAATCCTCTCTCCTCTCTGAGTTTTCATGACGTTGATTTCTCTTGTACCTGTCTTACTCATTCATCATCCATGTCACTTCTGTTAACTGTGGGTATGAACTGAGACTCTGGAGCGTCTTTACATTCTTTGACTTTGTAACCTTATCAGTTCTCATGTATTCCATCATCTGTATGTCAATGCTCCTGAGATCTCAATAGCTATAAATTTTCTCTCTCCTTAGCTCCAATTCAAGCATCAGTAACCATCTAACAGATATTTCTAGATGAATAACTCAGGCATCTCAAACTCAGCATTGTCCAAAACAAAGCTTACTATTTAACCCCTCTCCTCCCTAAGCCCACCTCATTTCCAAGCTTTATTGGCAAGGTCCCATTTCCGGTTACTAGGTTCACAAACCTCAGTGTTATCCCTGACTCCTCAATTCACACTCACCTCACATACTGTCAAATGTGGTTGTTGCTATCTTCACAACATCTTTAGTATATGTCCCCTTCCCTCTGTCTACTCAGCTACTACCCTCATTCATGCCCACATCATCTTTTGCTGAAATAATAAAAATAGCTAACATTTATATAGCACTCACTACATGCCTAGCACTGTGTTAAATACTTCACAAATATTATCTCGTTTTATCTTCACAACCCTGAGAGGTAGGTGTTCTTATGATCCCCATTTTATAGTTGAGGAAACTGAGGTAAATAGAAGTTAAGTGACTTGCCTAAGTTCATACAGCTAGTAAGTATCTGGGGCTGGATTTGAACTCAGGTCTTCCTGACTCTAGACCCAGTATTCTATCCACTGTACTACCTAGCTGCTGTAACTATTCCAATAGGCCTCCTTACATCAACCCTCTCCTCACTCCAACCTATCCTCTACATGGCAGCCAAAGTGACTTTTCTGAATCATAGGCCAATCAATCAATAAGCCATCTGTTAATTACCTCTTCATGTGTCATGAATGCACTGTGCTAGGCACTGAAGATTTAAGTATAAGTAACAAAACAATTCCTACTCTTAAAGGATTTACATTGTAACAAGGGAGACAATAAGTACGTATGTAAACATTCACAGAACAAATCTAAAGAAATACAAAGCAATATAAAATGGTTGGGGAGAGAAGGTACTAGCAATGGAAGGACTCAGGAAAGATTTCAAGCAGAATTTGGTGCTTGGGCTACATTTTCAAGGAAGACAGGGATTCTCCGGGGCAGAGATGAAAAGGTAGTGAGTTTCAAGTATGGAGCTAATGTAAGACTATGGAAAGTGCTATGTGTAAGAAACAGAGAGAAGGGTAATTTAGCTGGACCACAGCGAGTAGGAAGAGAGTAATATAGAATGAGGGTGGAAAGACATATTGGGACCAAGTTTTGAAAGGCTCTTCTCAACAAGCACCAGGGGCTCTCTATTGCCTCTACAATCAGATAAAAACTCCTCTGCTTGACATTTTAAAGTTCTTTACAAACTAGCCCCTTCTACCTTTCTTTTTTTTAATTTCTTTTAAAAATCTTATTATTTTATTCTGAACTTATACACCAAAAAAAGGAAATTTCCATCTTGAACAACGCAAAAAGATTATATATGAAACCCTAAATCTCCATTTCATATGCATACTTTCCCAAAAAAGTATATAATAAATATAACACATTATTTTTTAAAACTTCCTTACTTGTCTGTGATTCCTTTGACCCCCTTCCTACTTTTCTAACCCACTTTACCTATTACTCCCCTGCTTTCACTTTCAGATCTATCCATTCTGGACTACTTAACTGTTTCTCACTCTCAACAACCCATCTCCCAGCCTATGATCTTGCATAGGCTGTTCCCCTCATCACTTTATCTCCACCTCTCAGAATTCCTGGTTACATCAAAACTCACCACAAGTACCACCTTCTACCTGACTCCTTTTCTAATCTACCCCAGCTACTAGTGTACTTCCTTTCAAAATTACTCTGTATTTTCTCTTCCATCAAAATATAAACTAACTGAGGCCACAGATTATCTCCCTTTTATCTTTTTATCTATAGCACTTAGCAAGCACACTGCTACTGGGCCAAGTCGCCATGTTTACGTTTCCCCTTTGTGAATCCACAACTTCTACATGTTTTGAACTGAAACCCAGCTCAGGAGTCACCTCCATCATAAGCAGTCTATAAAGTAGATCGTAGAGAGAGAACTGGATGGGGCCTTATAAGTTGTCTAGCGCTACCATCCTCTCAGTCACCCAGGCTTGAAACACTGGTATTTTACTCTACCTCTCAACTTGCACTCACTCCATATAAACCTTCTTAATTATAGTGCTTTCCCATTGTTAATTATTTGCTATTTGTTCAGTATATAGCCTGCTATGTATATATTTGTTTGCATGTTGTCTACCCCATTAGATTGTAAGCTCCTTGAGGGCAAGGATTGTCTTTTGCCTCTTTTCATATTCCCAAGCACTTAGCACAGTGCCTGGCACATAGTAGGTGCTTAATAAATATTTATTGATTGATTGATATCCAATCTGTTTTAAAGTCATCATTTCTACTTCCATAATATCTGTCATATATTTTCCCTTCTTTCTACTCAAAAACCTGCCAACCTAGTGTCTTCGTCATCTCATACCTGGACTGTTGCACTAGCCCTCTGGTTGATCTCTTACTCAAGTCTCTCACTACTCCAATTTATCCTCCAATAAACTGCCAAAATTATTTTCCTAAAGTGCAAGTCTGATCATGACACCCATCACCCTCCCTACTCTATAATCTCCAGTGGCCCCCTATTGCCTCCAAAATCCAATATAAAACCCTGTTTGGCATTGAAAGCCCTTCACAACCTGGGCCCTACCTATCTTTGCAGTCTTCTTATACTTTAACTCCCCTTTACAATCCAGTAACACTGACCTCCCTGTTATTCCTCAAACATGACCCTCTAGTTTATGACTTGGTGCCTATGCAATGGCCGAGAATGTTTGCCCTCCTGACTTCCTTGACTTCTTTCAAGAATCAGCTCAAATCCCAGCAGGTGGCCTTCCCCAATCTTTCTCTTCTCCTTCCTGCCATATTAATGTCTTTCCTCTGAGAACAACTTCCATTTACACAGTATCTTTCTTGTATGTAATGTAACATCTCCTCCATTATTAAGTGAGTTCCTTGTGCGTAGGGACTGTACTTTTGCCTTTCTCCATATCCTCAGTGTTTAGCACAGTACTTAATAAACACATGTTGAACGATTACAAGCTTGAGACAAACATTATGAGAGGCTGAAAAGATTTTTGGTTTTTCTATAATGTTTGTTACTATGGCATGCAATCAACAGCCAAACAACAACAACCAAAAAAACCTCAGCAGCAATACTAAAGATGAGAATATTAATTCAACACAATTCAACACTGAATGGCGGAACACACTGTTTGTTACTCCTTAATGCCTCTCTAATGCACTTATTGTAATCAATAATGTAATCAATCAAGTTATCTGTATTTTTGTCATATCTACTGTAGACTCCTCAGGGACAAGGGACAGGCACAAGGACTATATTTTGTCTAAATTTTGTATCCCCTACCCAGCAACTCAGACAGTGAATTACACGGTGGGCACTTAGGAACTTTCTTAGGAATAAATCAAATCGCTAACAACAAAGGGGATGTTAAAAGTTAAAAGCAAGAATAAAGGGAACATTAAAACAAAGACAAACTAAAACTTCATCCAACATGGAGTTGTGTCTCTTCTGTTCATACAATCAATGTCATCATTGTTCACAAGATGCTTAGCATCACAACCTTTCTCATTCATATTACAGGACACACAGGTTTGAAACAAACATCTGCATAAGGAATTCTAAGGACTTAATAATTTCCCACATTAAAAATACATTTACATCAGTAAGTAGCAGTTCTTTCCTTCCCAAGATGTATGTTTGCCACTGTTGTGGGCAAAGTTTATGACTTAGAAGTCATATTCTAAGAGGTCTGAGGAGACTTTCTCATACATCATGGGTCTTACATTTAATAATTTTTTTTAGCATAGGATACATAGGGCCAAATAATTGGTACCTAATGCACAGTGCCAAAGAGTGTTCAGAAAACTCTCTGTAATTAAACGATTGATCCTCATGTTTAAAGACAAATACCCCAGTATCTTTGCAGATAGACATCTTTCGCAAAGAAGTAGTCTATAATTACAACATAATTATTGTTACCAGCATTGAAAAATCAAGTTGATTATGAAGATTTCTCCTACCGGGTCTAGGTTCTTAAAAAGAAGGATGTCTTTGCAAGCTTCCTGCAACCTATTTCTTTGATCATCTGTCTTCGGATGTATAATCTAAAAAATAACAATGAAAGAAAAGATATAAAAGGAGATATTTTTCTGTTGACTTCTGAAAATAGGATTGTGTCATAAATATAGGAAATGTCAAATATTTAACATACTGTAAAGTTTGTATGGCTGATTTAACTCTTTACCTTGTTCACTTTCAGACGCCACTGTGAGACTCAAATTCCCCATCAAAAAATCAGCCATGCTGAGAGTGTTGTGCAGGAACAGGGAATTATAAGCATTTTAAGGGATATATTCAGATAAAAAACCCCAAAATATTAAATAGAGGCTTCTCCTTCAGATGACTAACAAGTAAAAAGTAACATTAAGGTTATGTCTATATTGCTAAATGAAAGAGCAGTCCAACGTGCTTCTGGAAGCCTTCATTCTCTAAGCTGCTGACCATTTTTTTTCCTACACTGGGTTTGGCAAATTCATTAAATTTTAAATCTGCCTCATTTAGAGATCTTGGTTAAGTAGAAAACCATGCAAGAGGAGATCTATTTTTGACAGCCATATTGTACTTTTAGAGAACATGCTCTTGTTTGTCCTCCAATGAGCTCACATTCTCAAGAATTTGTTTTCTCAATTCCTTCAATTAAAAACTAAGATAATTCTTTTTCTTTGGAGGTGAACAAACTCTGTGGAGAAAATGGCTAGTGAACCCTCAAGATTGGACACATTTTTTAACCATATGAATGGAGACTACTGCTTGAACAGGAGATGTCCAGGGCAGTAGCATTCCTACAATGAAACAGAAGACCTGGATACATCTCACTCCCTACTTAGCGAACAAAATCCAGACTGATGAACAAGGATTCTTCAAATTCTCCTTGTGGAATTCAAGATTTGATCAACTACCTTTATTCCACAATAATACAAGGAAAAACAGGAAACCATCCACTACTGAGATTTTTTTTTCCCAGTTGACAGGTGGGTAAGGGAAGGATGAGTTCCCACCATGAGTGCTGACTCATGTCAACTAGTAACCCATACGTAAATCACAAGGTTCCAATGATTCAGACCAAAAGATTCCAATCTTCTCTCCATTTTGGTAAAGTATATAACTATAGGCTATGTTGGCAAGCAATACCCAGGGCATTCAAATTTATAGATCAGTTTTTTGAGCTACATAGAAACACTATCTTTTCTTATCCAACCATTAACTCACAGATTAAGAAAAATCCAAATGCTGTCAACAAAGGTGATGATAAGGTTTATTTGATTTCATTCAACATGCTATATATTCTAAACAATCAAAAACAGGCTACATAAAATTATATATTAATAAAAAATTACTTAGTGATATAAATATAGACAAATTAATTAGTCAAATTTACAGCTCTGCATAGATCCTGACTCCTGAAAGATAAAATAAATCCTTATCTTATGGTTAACAGGTAAAATGTTAAATCATGTTGAAACATTTTTAGTATACAGATGTAGCTTTTAAATAGTGCATTTGAGAAACTGAAAGTTTAATGTGACTCTATTTTTGAAAATCTTTAAATATTTGTGGCCTTTCCCCCTCTTACTTGGAAAAATTAAACCACCTTTTACCTAATATTCTTCTTCTCAGTTAAACTAGATGCTCAACATTCCAGACTATATATGTAAGCATATGATAAAAGGTAGTTCCAGTTACTTAGGTACTCATTGATGAAAACATCCCATATAGTTTGAGAAGTAATAACTAAACCATGTAAACTAAAATTAACTTCTAAATTAAGTACATTACTATAAATACTATAACAAAAGTGCTGCTCACTTAAATAATTCCTCTAATTCTTCTCCTTCTTCTTCTTTCACACCAAAGTAGGTCAGTACCTCTCTGCGGAACACAGTCTCTGGAAGTTGTTTGGGGAAACTGAGGAACTTGCCCATGGTTACAGAGCAAGAATCTGTCAGAGGTAGACCTAAAACATAGGTCTTCCTGATTCAGTCTAGTTCTCTACCCACCACTCTACACTGACTCTCACTTAAATTCATTGAACAGAATTTGAATTAAAGGAATGTCATTTTTTATTTTCTGTAAAGAACATAAAATAAAAACTGATAGAACTTGAAGGTTACTTGTCATTATTTTGGCCTAACATGTATACATATTTTTTTGGGGGGGTGAGGCAATTGGGGTTAAGTGACTTGTCTTGAGTCACACAGCTAGTAAGTATTATGTGTCTGAGGCTGATTTAAACTCAGGTCCTTCTGACTCCAGGGCCGGTACTCTATCCACTGAGCCACCTAGCTGCCCCCAGCCTAAGATATTTCATGATCGCTTCTGACCAGAGTTAAGTGCCTGGCTCCCAATACTCATTTTGTTAGCTGACTAAACTCTACCAGAAAGTTTACATATAAGAAAAGCATTTATCACTTTACCACAGGCTCACCAAATACTCATTTTTATGTAGTAATAGCTCTTAAAGAGGCCACTGACCTTCAGTTAAATGAACAAAGTGGCTGTTTAAGGTTAAAAAAAGCACAATTTCTTTGCTGATCACCATCAGTTATTGAGTAGCTTGTGCTGGTCTGACAATAGTTAATCTATTGCTAGAAAGCTACATGTGTCTTAGCAGACAGAACCAACCATCCTTAGGAACATCAGGAACTAAGATAAAACACTGTCTGTTCCACCCAATTTTGTACAATTAAAATGCACGAGGGTACCCTTAAATGGGAAAAGAAGTTATAACCTGTGAGGTTGATAATTGAAATGCTAAAGCTTCAGAGAAAATAAATACTATACTTTATGTATGGAAGATTTATTCTGAGTACATTATTATTATTCAAACATTATCAGAAACCTATTATTTTTCTTTAAATGCAGTAACACCTTAATTATCTGGTATCACTGAAAAATGAAAAATTCTAAATAACTCATTTTCCAGATAACGAGATGTTAAAGGCAAATGCCTTTTATTCTAAGGTTATTCTATTAAAAAACCAGAAATCTTCATGAAATGTACTAAATATTGCCCTGACTTCTAAAAATGAAAAAAGAAAATGAACATTTCTTGATGACTCTGAAACATCAGTAATTACATTGTAGATGAGGATGAAATGGGGCTGATGGTGGAATAAGTATTAACTCCAGAAATTGTCTTAGAAGATGCTTTCTTTGAAAAATATTTTGATTTAATTTTATATTAGGGTTATTTTCCACATTTATGAGAAAATAGGCACAAAGGATACACAGGCTACATAGACCTTCTGAGAAGCACGACGAAGGTACCTTCTTGAAAAATTAAGTACTAAAGACCAAAGCAGCTTCTCTCAAATGGTTATTTTCTTCTCCAAGAAAATTTCTTCTCCATTGATGCTAGCAGTACTTTTGGCTTAACACCAGCTTTCAAAACACATCTAACTATATCACTGATGCAGTGGGCCATAGACACTTTCTTGTCAGCTTGTACCCATTCATTTGTACTATTTATTGATAAAGTTTATTTGCATTTCACAAATTCCTGCTGGGGTATTTGCATGATCTTACTTTGAAGCTTACAAATATTTCATCATCATCACATGATGATGACAATGACACCCCTGCAAACATAACATCAAGTCACAATTTTCTCCAAGTCTCCTTTAATTAATGATTTCACATTTAACAGAATTACAAGCACAAATCAACCAACATACAACATTTAATGTTAAATATACTGGCCGCAAGCCGACTTTCTGCCGGCCGTACGCCGGCACCCGCTCCTCCTATAAGGAGCACACTACCAGAGTCATACTCACTTCCGAGTCTTCGGTCCTCAGCTGGATAAACACACAGAGACGAGCCATCGGGAGGCACCAACACCAGAGCTTTATTCAGAGGCCAACACAGCAAGCCATCATAGCAAGCCCAAGCAGCAAGGCCAGAGCAACAGGGCAGGAGCCAGGAGAGAGCGCCTGTGTTCTGACCACGCTTGTTCCTAACTAACTACCTAGCCCCTCCTCCCCAGCCCGCTTACTAGCCAATGATTGTAGGGTCAGATACTGGAAGGGGCTGTCTGAGTTTAGCACACCAAGGGGGAAGAAGTGACGTAGGAGGCTAGGACCGGATACAGGGAGGAGGCATCTGGGATTGGCACATAGACAAGAGTACATGACCTAGGAAGTCACACTCAGGAGGGGTCTGGGGTCAGTGCTGCACAAAGGGACCCAGGAAGTCAGGAAGGTCACAAGAGGCGTCTGGGGATGACGTTGCATATAGGGAGGGGACTAAGCAAAGGGAACTCAGTCCTCTGCCATCCCACTCCCACGTGGCACCGCCCCTTGCCTCAGGAGCTCAAGCTCCGGCTACTTCCTTGCACCCAGCTTATCTCACAAAGCACTGCCCATTGCCTCAGGGCTTCTCTGTATCCAGCCCATCCCAGTTCACCACGACTCTGCCTACCACAGCCCCTGCCTCGACTTTCAAAATACCCAGATCTTACCCTACCCTTGCCACAGCGCCCAACCTGGTAGCTGCCAACATCAGACAGTCCCTCACAGTTAAAAAGTTAATATCTTGTATTAATTTTCTCATGAAATTCAATGTAATAATGTTATCAATCGCAGGGTTTCTGGCTTCTCAGCTATTTTTCTTTTTTGATCACTGATTCAGGGGCTACTTCTTTACTTTCAGAGCAGTGGCATTGATGGGGGGGGTTTTCATTGGTAGGGAGCAGGGTTCCAAATTCAGTGCTGCTGCAGATTTCTGAAGTTGCCAGATGTCTGACCTCTGATTCAGTTAACTTTATTTTTAAGGTGTGAATTTATTAGTTAGAGGCTAACTTTTCTATTAAATGCTTTTCTGATTTCATAATTTAAATTAATGGTAAATTGTTGTGATCAACAGAAATCTGCTTTAAAGAAGACCTTACAAGTACCAGGGATTCTATTAACAAGAAAAAGATCATTGAAAATTGTTGTGCATGCTATCCTTTTTCTACTTGTCCGGAAGGCCCCATTCCTAATTTTATCAGCATTCCACACCACATTGTTATGAATTAGGCATGTTTTTCTTGTAGCCTTTAAAAAACTTCACTAGTAGAGGGACCACACTTTTGAATACAAATGTCATGTCAGAATGGTTCAGAAATACTTTGGGTTTAAAAAGTAAAGTAAAAACCCTGATATCTCTGAGAGGAAGTTACTGTTTAGATGAGCTTTCCAAAGATGTAATGAAATGAAGAAATATAATTTAAGTAATGTTATATCTAGAAAGGATGCTAAAATAAAGTATTTTATTCTGTCAAAATGGACACATTGCTTTTTCTTCATATAATACTTTCTAACAGTACAAAAAAAGGTCATTACATCAGATGCTACTAATTTGGCATTTGTAAGATTTACTAGTATTTCGGCTGAAATGTACTTGTACTCTAGCTATGAAAAAAACAATTTTCTGAACAAATGTAGTTCATTTTGGCTAGATTATAAGAAGAATGTTTGATCTACATAATAAGAAGAAGCACTCTATCACCATCACTTGCGTATAATTATTATGTTATAAAAATAAACCATCTATCAACTAAAACAGCTCTATTCGGTTCTCTGAGAACAACACTATCACCAGTCAATTGGAGTCCATGGAACACGGTTCGTATGATGAAAAGGAGTACTTTTAAAAAATTGTCTTTCAGACTTTCCACTAATTCAGAGTAGATTTCCCGCAATGATGGCTAGCAACTAGTCTATGTATAGACTACAGTATGAGTGTCATGATGTGTGTCAGATGACCCTTAAATGGGACCATTCTATTTTATGCTAGATCCATAATCTAAAAGAATTAAGATAAGCCTAAATCTTTTAATTATACTTACCTAAAATCCAAATGAGATATTAGCAGCAGGACACAGCAAATCTGTTATATTCTCAAGGATATAAACTTAGCAGTTTGAGACCCTGAATTATCATTAAATCGTCTTATATTTTAAAGTTTCTCTGTGTGGAATGTAATGAATAATTCTACCTTGTCGTCAAAGTTAATAAGTTAAGCATTCTAGGATATTTCATATACATATGTGTGTGTACACATGTGTGTGCATATATATGTACATACACACACACATACACAGAGACAACAAGAAAATCCCAGTTTTCTATATATCTTATCTAACTATACATATATCCAATGCTGGGTGGGGTTTAAAAATGTGTAAATGAAAAACTGGTATTTTCTTGGTGCCTCTGAACAATTCAAGGCTATGGAAGTAAAAGACATAATAACCTATTAACCTGAATGAGGTGTCGTAAGTCTAGGAGGGTCACCCCTGAAGTGCTTTCATATATAATTTCTCCTTCCATCAGCAATGTTTCAGATATATTCCCAGAATCTGATGGCTGCTAAGAGGCCAATGTATAAATTCTTTAACTGCTTAGGGTTATAATACATAAATTATTCCTATCCTTCTCAACCACTCAATGTTATTCATGATTTTTAAAACTATTGCAATGCATCTTGTAAGAAATGAAAATGTTCAAATAGAGGAATCCTTTTACGGAGTTTTACACAAAAAGAACTGATATTTCTTCTGTTTTCTAGAAATCTTTTTTTCTTTTAATTTTAACGAAAAAATGAGAACAGAAATACATCACAACAAAACAAAAAAAATTGCTTCACATCATTGCAGAAAGATCATTTTTCCAAAAATGTAATGACTTCTAAAAAATCTCTTCCTTAGTTAATGCAAACTCATAAGTTTATACAAATTTTTCTCATGAGAAAAACTAGTATGCTACCAACAGCACAAAGCCTTATTCATTCACTTATTTATTTGTGTATTTGTTTATCTAGTTATTATTTTTTCATTTATTTATGTATTCACCTATTTATTTGTACATTTTGGTAATTTTTGTTTACATTGTGTATTGTACTTTTATGAGTATATTAATTAAAGTAGAGGGCTTTTTCCTAAGAATTTTCTTAGTTTGGAAATGTTCCTTTACATCATAAGATTACAAGTAACAACTGCTGAAAATAATAGCTAAAAAAAATCAATTTTTCATGAGTTCTTGTTCTACAGTGAATCCTAAAACAAAACAAGAGTCAATTATGTACTCAATGAATTTTATATAGAATTTTATATATAATATATATTTTAAAGTATACACACACATATATATGTGGAAATGTACATATCATTTTGATGCTTCCAGAGATGAATAACTTCAGCACCTCCCAGTCTGCCAAAGCTTTCCTAGAACTTCAACACTTCAGTGGGATATCAGGAAAGGAAATACATTTGAGTAAAATTACCAGATTAGCAAAGAAAGTTGCTGAGGAAAAAGAGTCAGAACTGTTCCAATATGCATTCTCTTCTACCTGTTGTTTACTTGAGTTGCTATTATTATCTTCATATTTTATAAAGGTTTAAGTAAATTACATACCCTGGATTCTGCATCATCTTCTTCTTCATCTGGATTGTAAGTTTCTGCACATACTACAAACAGAAAAAAGTCCAAAGTACAATAAATAAACAGTATTAAAAATAACAATTCTTTAATAAATCAAGTCAGAGTAAAGTACTATACCTCTTAAAACCAAAATATTCTCCATGGTGAGAGTAATGAATTATTTTAAAAGTTGCATTAATAATCAAAATGTAACAAGAAAAGTTGCACATTAAGCCAGAATCTTTGCAAATCAATTTTTTTCCTAATGACTTAAATTCATTTAAGAAGAATGCTTGAAAAAGCTATCACTGCTATTGATCACACTACTGATCAGCATTTTGAGTTTGTAATTATCAGTTATACATATTCCCTATCAGGGAGTGATACGTGGCAATTGTAGCTTTTTGTAGATTTTTCATAGATCCAAGAATCCTTTGAAGGGCAGGGGGAAATAATCAGGTATCATATATCAGTATCCCAAGTTCAGATTGTCATATAAGGTTGTTATCATTCAGTCATTTTTGCCATGTCCAATTCTTTATGATCCCATTTGGGGTTTTCTTGGAAAAGATACTGGAGTGGTCTGGCATTTAGTTCTCCAGCTCGTTTTAGATGAGAAAACTGAGGCAAATAGGATTAAATGACTTGCCCAGGGTCACACAGCCTGCAAATGTCTGATGCCAGATTTGAACTCAGGTCTTCCTGACTCTGGACCAGCTTGTGTCTTGCCCATGATAGCAACTTAAAAGAAGTTTACTGAGTTGTGGGAAATGGGAGAGGTGCTATGTGACTAAAGAAGGGCAAATATCACTCTGACTTGTCAAAAAAGAAAAGACTACAAAGCTTGCTAAATACAAGCCAGAAAATTGCTGGTAAAATTCTAGAACAGGGCTTCTTAAACTTTTTCCTTTAAGGGCCCCTTTAGCAGCTTCTTAAACTGTGGGTCACAACCCCATAAGGGTGGTTGCCACCCACAGTTTAAGATTAGAGTATGAATGTATTAGGTACAGCTAAAGAGAAATATCTGTGTTTCATTTCTCATGACTGTTGTGGCCCAGAAAGCATCACTCTCTGGGAGCAAGCAACATTTCTCATTGGGAGAAATTCCCTTAACTACATTTCCCAAAAGATATGTCTGGATGCAGAGTGGAAGAGCAACCAGACAAGGACAGATTACTGAAGATTCTTCTCAAAGTCCAAAAGCTTAAACAGTGAGATTGTCAGAGGGGCAGTGTGTGTGTGTATGTGTGCAGATGAGGGCGCTGGGGGGGGGATGGTATAGCCACACCATGCCTCACATGGGAGAGTCCTAGTAGAATTCTGATGCTCCCAGAGTGAGTAACTTCAGCACTCCCCATTCTCCCCTATAGTCAACAGTCAAACATTTATTCAAAACCTACTATGTGTCAAGCACTGTGCTAGAATGGGGGGAATGAAGGTGTACAAATAAGAAAAAGATAGTTCCTATCCTCAGGAAGCTTACAATCTAATGGGGGAAGACAATATACAAAAGAAAATTTTATAAAGGGGAGAAGGGGACCACCAGCCGTGACCCAGTGAGGCAGTATGATGTTTCTTGGAGCTGAAACCAAGCAGATGGAAAATGATGGAAACAGGTGATAGAAAATGAAATTGGCTGGAAAGTTCTGAGCCTTCTATAAAAGAAGGCTATGGGAGGAGTTTATTTCTCAGTCCTCCAGATCTCCAATTAGAGGGGAGAGGTAACTAAGCCTGCAGAGAAGGTGTTAAGTATCAAAGCTGAATCAATTTCCATGATGACAATGAAATTTCAAGTGAGGAACTCATCTTGAGGATGAAACTTTCACAGAGCTTCATTGTGCTGATAGCATCAAATCCTAAACTTTTTTTTTGTTTGTTTTTAAGCATTGGGCAGTATGAACTAGCTATATTCCTTCTGAAATGGAGGGAGTGGAGTGAAGGGAGGGAAGATAGGATTAGATTGTAATACCCTTCAAGACTGAAGGGGGACTGAACTCTTTTGAGAACTAGGGAATAAGAATAGCTCTCTTCCATAATTATTTCTACCTTGCTATTTTATGACTTAACTGCTCCGGCCACGAGATTTTTAACTTGCATGGTTGGTAAATAGAGATTATTACACTGGTGGTATCTCAGTCCCGGATTTGCAGAACTGATTGCCCAAAATATTACACTGTGAACAATGTAAGAATATCAAGAAGCTGTGGACACGCAGCTACCCTGCCTATTTCTGGTTGACCATGTGTGCTGGTTCAGCACTAAACGACTTAGGTGCTTTGAAATGATGAAAAAATTGTTACTGATCTCTTAGCACCATAACAGTAGCAAATAGCGCTCTCTCTCTCTCTCTCTCTCTGGGGTTCCCATAAGGGGGTGGAGTATGGTGCCCTCCCCCCATCCTGGAAAAAATGATGAACTGTGAGCACACTGCTACTAAAGCAAATACCTGGGAAAAGGAGAGTCTGAGCCTCGGCCCCAAACTACCTTTTTCTGCTTTGCGTTTCCTTCCCTTAGCATAAGTGACCAAACATCAATTCCGAGATGAATATGTCCAGCCTTAGGAGCAACCTTGGAAGTTTAATAGTTTGGAAGACCCAGAGTACCTTAGTAAGAGCTGATTGGGCAGGAGGAGTTCCTATATCAGAGAAGACAACCATCAACAGAGGGAAGAGTTCAACCTAGCTCACCAGAAGGCATGGACTTACAAGGAATTGTTAAACAGTGAAGAACTGAGGTAAATTGTAAAATGCCTATTCAGCAGTTTTCCAAACTGTTATGTCTTGCTATTTTAAGTATTAAGTTCCTGGAAGATTATAATAATAATGATTATGCTGTTAACTGCTGCTTCTTAAGTTTTCTCTCAATACACACTTGTGAGTCTTGTGTTTGTTAAGCATTCCATTTGTGCAGAGGAAATAAATAACTGTCCTATAACTGATTCTATACCTTACATCGAGTACCCTTCTACCTCTTCCTTTGGGGGAAACTTAGATATGGATTAAAGCTAAGCTTTAAGTAATTGATTTCAGGGCACATTGGTAGAGGTTTAAAGGGCTGAAGAATGTTAGAAACAACCTAACTCTTTTCATTAGAAGTTGTGATACTTAAGGACTAAACCTGGTTCATGTCTATGGGTCCAGAGTTAAGAGCAGCCCTTTGTAAAGAGGGAGAGGACAAAACACTCCACCCCCTTGTGGTTGTATACAGCCTTCTGGGAAATGTAGTTCAAGCACTTAATGGTTCTCTGAGCCCTAAGTATTGTGATAAAAAAGTTGTGGGGGGAGTCCTTTTTATCTATACTTACAATATCAACATAGAAAAAAAGTAAATGGTGAAGAGTAACAACCAATATGGTTTCATCAAGAGTAAGTCATACCAAATTAATTTTCTTTTTTTATCTAGGTTGATAGATGAAGAAAAAGTTGTATATACTGTTTACCTAGATTTTAGGAAAGAATTTCACAGTGTCTCTCATGCTGTCCTTATGGACAAAATAGTGATATATATGCTAAGTTACAGAAGTGTTAAAGTAGATTCAGAGCTGGCTGAAAGCCTGATTGACCTATAAAGTAACCATTAATACATTCATGACAACATTAAACAAGGTCTCTAGGGGAGATCTCCACAGGTTCATCTTGGCCTTATGATGGAGACTGGATATCAAAATTGTAGCAGACTTTTCACAAAGCTAGAAGAGATAACTAATGCTAATCTTTACTATCCCGGTCATCCTTCTCTAGACATTTTAGTATCCTCCCTAAAATCTTGTAGCCTTCCTAAAAACTCCAGTATCCTTTCTAAAATCCACAAAGCTCAGAAAGACAGCTAATGACCTGGATGACAGAATAGGGAGATCTAAAAAAGATCTCAAAAGACTAGAACATAGGGCCAAGTATAAAGTCTCACAACTGAGTTAAATCAACTTTACTAGTATGAAATTAGGGAGACATAGAGAGCAACTCCTCTGAAAGGAAAAAAGATCTGGTAATTTTAGTGAGTTGCTCAATATGAGACAATAGCATGATCCAGGACAGAATAAAAAAAATAAAGCAGTTTACAGAACAGGGGAAATCATAGTCCTTTGTATGCTTCTCCTGTTCAGGTTACATTTAGAGGACTGTGGTCAGTTTTGGATATCAGACTTTAGGAAGGATATTGGAATATCTAGAGAAAAGTAACACAGATAATAAAGATCATGCAACTGGAAACTGAAGGAACTGGGGAGATTTAGAATGAAGAGTAGAAGACAGAAGTCACACAGAATAGCTGTCTTCAAACTTCTGAAGGTCTGTCATGTGGGCAAGGGAGCAGACTTTCTTCTTGGCCCAGAGGGCAGCTCTAGGAGAAATGGCAGAGAGGAAGATTTCACCTCAAAGTAAGGACAACTTTTCTTACAATTTGAGTTATCTTAGAAATGGAATGAGGAGCCAGAGCAAGTAGTTTCCCCTTCATTAGAGGTCTTTAAGTGAAAGTTTGATGACCACTTGTTGAAGTTAGGGATTTTTTTCTAAATTCCAGCTCTGAATTTCTGTGATTCAATATGGATCTTCCTAAGGAATAGAAGCGTTTTTGATTAGTGAAGAGTCCAAAAGAATGCCAAGTCTTTCTGATGCTAACATCTATTAACACTGGCTGATTAGTTAAATACCTGTCTACAAGGGTGGCAATCTATGCATGTCTCATTTCTTACCCAGCCTTAATCACTGAATGGGCTCTGCTTCAGTCAAACTGAGACCTGTTAAAGACCTTAGCTTGAAAATCCAAGGTCCTCCATTGTATCTTGGGCCACCTCCAGTTGTCCAGAGCCATATCTGGCCACTGGACCCAGATGGCTCCAGAGGAGAGAGTGAGGCTGGTGACTTTGCACAGCCCTCCTTCACTTAAATCCAATTCACTTGCATGTCATGGCACTACCTCCCTGATGTCATGGTCCTCTTAGAGAATGAAAGACAAAGAACAACAAACAAACCTATGCATGTTGTAATGCACGTGCAGTCTATGGCCATGCAGTGTGATGTTTTTATAAGCAAATATATTTGGATGCCAA